CACTCAGCTACCAAACCAGAAACGAGGCGGAAAGGGAATGACTGGAAGCACTGGAGTATGGTATTCCCAAAAACAACTTAACCCTTTTCCCATTTGCCCCAAAATACTTGCTAGTGGTGCCTGCAGCTGTAGTGTTTACCTCAAGATAACTGTCAGATTAGTCATAACCTTACCCCTAAAGTTTGCCTCAAAATATCTTGCTTTTATTATTTTGGCATTGCTCTAGTATCTCAATAGTCTTTGGAAACAAATAACATTATTCTATTTATGGCATTCTGTTTCATTTTTTTGAGTAATTTTTGTTAGAATTAGAATCAAGCTCTGTTTAGAAATAACTCCAAGAACAGTTTTTATATTTTATTTTCCCACTGAAAATTAGTCAGGTTTGCATCAGCCTCAAAGAGTATGTTTATGTAAAATTAAATGAATGTGGCAGCAAGCTGCACCCTTTTTCCTAAACGGGAAGTGGGTTAAGTTGTAAAACAATAACTTTTGCCATTATTTCAACTATTTCACATGACACAAGTTAGCTTAGAAGAAAAAAAGTCAGTGATCAATGGATTGTTACTGCATTCTGCACCTAGCATACGGCACATAAATTTTTGCACAGAAATGTTTTGTTTCAAAAGAAGACTGCTTAACCATCACCTTAAAGAATATAAAGGCTGGGTTCGGTGGCTCAGCCTGTAATCCCAGCATTTTGGGAGGCCTAGGCGAGTGGATTGCCTGAGCCCGTGGGTTCAAGACCAGCCCGGGCAACTTGGCGAGACCTGTCTCTACAATAAATCAAAAATTAAGCCAGGCTTGGTGGCTCAGCCTGTAATCCCGCACCTTTGGAAAGCTGAGGTGAGTGGATTGGCTGGGCCCGCGGGCTCAAGACTCACCTGGGCAACTTGGCGAGACCTCATCTCTACAATAAATAAAAAAAATTAACCGGGCATGGTAGTGCGTGCCTGTAGTTCCAGCTACTTGGAAGGCTGAGGCGGAAGGATCGCCGGAGCCCAGCAGGTCGAGGCTGCGATGGCCAGGAACGGCCACTGCACTCCAGTCTGGGTGACAGAGTGAGACTCCAACTCAAAAAAAAAAAAAAAAATTAGCCGGGCGTGGTAGCGTGCACCTGTAGTTCCAGCTACTTGGAAGGCTGAGGCGGAAGGATCACCGGAGCCCAGCAGGTTGAGGCTGCGGTGGTTGGGAGTGTGCCACTGCACTCCAGCCTGGGCGACGGAGTGAGACTCCAACTCAAAAAAATAAAAAATAAAAAAAAAGAATATAAAGCAGTCAGCTAACAGTAACTCACTGTGTCCTTTCTCTTAAGGCATCCATGTTCACACTCTCTCTCGAATGTGTCTTTCTTTCCTAATAAATTCTACTTGATCTCACTCTTAAATGCTTTTTTTGGCACTGATGTCAAGAACTCATGGAACAACCCCCACCACCCAGCATAAGATTTGCTTGTGAAGTATGGCCACATTGCTCCTAGTAAGTCTGAATCACTTTATATAACCAGCAGCAATACCTGAGTAGCTTTATCTCCCCTTAGTTAACGCTAGCTAATATAATTTAAAAACAAATGATGGCCGGGCATGGTGACTCAACATCTGTAATCCCAGTACTTATGAAGGCTGAGGTGGGCAAACTGCTTGAATCCAGGAGTTCAAGACCAGTTTGGGCAACACAGCAAAACCTTGTCTCCACAAAAAAAAAAAAAAATCAAATAAAAGATGGGCATGGTGGTACACGCCTGTAGTCCCAGCTACTAGGGATGCTGAGGCAGAAGGATCATCTGAGTCCAGGTTGAGGCTGCAGTGAGGCATGATTGTTGTGATCATGCCACTGCACTTCAGCCTGGGTGAAAATGTGAGACCCTGACTCAATCAATCAATCAATCAATGATATACATGCCTGAAAGGGAAAAAAACCTCCACCAACAAGACAAAAGATTATGCAAACCAAGGCAATATTAATTACAGTTACAGTTTTTAAAAACTGAATTTTATGTTGATTAGGAATACATAAGTAAGTGGCAAAGTCTTTAAGAAAAGAAAGGGAAAGCCGGGCTGGTGGCTCAGCCTGTAATCCCGCGCCTTTGGGAGGCTGAGGTGAGTGGATTGCCTGAGCCCGCGGGTTCGAGACCCACCTGGGCAGCGAGACCTCATCTCTACAATAAATCAAAAAATCAGCCAGGCGTGGTAGCGCATGCCTGTAATTCCGGCTACTTG